AAATAAGTTCTAGTGCTACCAACTAAACGTGAATTGGTATATATCTATTCATTCCAGTTGACCACTGGAACACGTATAAACAAAGTCAAATTACCTACCCTTCAAATATAGTAATAACCATTAAAAGTAAGAGCTAAAGAACAGCAGAGTAACAGATCACATCAAGTGTCCTAAAACGCCATTCCGACATTTCTTGAATAAATAATCATAAATTACAACATGCCACTGAAAAATAACCCACAGCTTAATTCAAAGTCCCATGTTTTTCGTAATTTTTTTGCTATAAACATTTTCAAGAATGCATTTAACAGTATTTGTTAAACTAATTTCAAGAACATTCCGAAAGCACGAAATGTAATAGCAACGTATTGAGCATACGGCCCTTCGTGATTCATCTGCAACGAAATGAAATTCCTGACATAGCCAAATCAAATAAAAAGCATGCACCCGTAAGGAACACTGGCGTTCATCGTTCCTTGTAACTACAAATATTCATTAGAGTTTGCAGCTCCCCTATATGCGAGGGTGCATCCCGATCTATCACTCTATCCGGAGACTTACGGTCGACCCCGTTTAATAAAACCTCCTAATGAAACGGCGCTTTCTTGTTAATTAGATTGTCGTGCCATTCGTCACAGCTTGTCACCAGGGAGCAAATGCAGATCTTCTAAATTGTTTGCTTTACGAAATGTCAATTAGTAAACGATAGGTGTACGCGTGGAAAAATAATGTTTTATTAAAAATAAAGTTACAGTTGTACGCTGCCGGAAACTGCTTTTGCGAATGCAAAAAAATAAAAATGTACGTTAAAAAAATAGGTCTGTGCCGCGACGTTGACGCTATATTTGCGTCATATTTGCAATATACTAAATTAAGCTTCCCCCTTCAAGCTAACAACAATGGAGTTTGCAGAATTTGAACATCTCTGTCCGTTCTCAAGATATTAGGTCGCGGAGTTTTAGGTGATACACCCCGTATATTGTCTATTTTAGGTATGGACTGGAAATTACATAAAAAACAAAAATTGAGTGCTTTGGAACAACAAATCTACTTAGTTTTTTGTCAAAACTTCTAAAAAAAATTTAAAATTATAATTTGAAGTTAATAACCATTTTTGCAGTCATGGAATTTTTTTTGCCTTGTTTGGAAATGTAATTTCAATATGTTTTCGGTACCATGTATAAACAAAAAAGGCAAATAAGAAAGTAAAGCGGTTTTTATCACCCTATCGTAATAATAAATAGTCTACAAAAGGACATGTAATTAAAAAGAAAAGGATGCTAATTCTGTACTATAAAAAATTAAGTGCTCCATTTTCACTTCTATACTAGAACTTATAAAACATCTGGTCCGTCGGCTAATCATAGGCCGGATGACATTCTATTGAGCAGATTGGTTTCTTCCTGCAACTCTTCCCGTGTTTTATAATGTTCTTAATTATAATTAAACGCTTATTGGCATGTGTGTTACACTCGAACGACGCCGTCACCACGCAACGTCCGTTTCTTAGATTCATGCACTTTATTGTTTATATTAATTTTAACATTTTACGTTTTTATAATTTATTGAACGTATGTTATGAATGCATACTAAAAACTTAAAATGTTGTTACGTATACCATACCGAGTCAGAAACTCATAAATTGTCTGAATACTAATGTTTGAATCTTTTTTTCCATTATTGGAAAATGATATTAATATTATGAACTAAAAATTTTCCATAACGAACAAAGCCCTTATAACCTTTATTTGTGAAATTTATTGTGTTATTAATCCTTCAGTTTATTAATCTCGGATAAATAAAATTAATTTTTTGAAATAATTAATTGTTTTATTAAATAGCAGAAATAAAATAAGTCATATACGCATATGTAAGTTATTTTTGATAAGTAAAAAAAATGGTCGAAGGTTATTTAGACAGAACTTCCCTAGCCCGTTAAGTACAATTCAACAAATCCCGCTTCTTTGAAAAATAAAAAAAAAAATTACGAACTGTTATTTGTGATAACGCCTATGCATAAAAACAAATATAGATAAGTAATACCAGTAACAGTATAAGAAGCTAAATGATATCATGATATTCTATAAATATGTTGTGACAACCTATAATTTTTTTTGTGTCTGTTTATGACATCCAACTTTTATTTAATGACTCTATATATATTTTTTATCTCTGCAGGCTTGTTTTTTAGAATTCATTAACATATTGTACTTTAATCAACCATACTCCGCCACTGTCTATCATTTGAACGCATTGTTACGAAAACATACTTGTTTATCATATTTGGTGTGGAGTGCACTTGCCCTTTGGAAGTGTTAAAAAAAACTCTGCGTCTACCCAAATGTACTTTGCTAAAATGTTGATGCCGTCATCATAAAATTTTGATATGGAAAAACTCACTTAAAACATACTTGTTTATCTCTACTTTAACACTCCATGCAAAGGTATCTTTATTTTAACTAGTGGGGTTATTGTAAAATAATAAAATTCACAAAATTAAATGTTATGATTTTTCAAAGACGGTGCATTTGTTCGACCGTACTTCAGGAGCGAGGAAATTGCTGTTTAAACAACTTTAAACCGTTTTTTTATAACCTTTGTAAGTTAAAGTAAAAAGGTATGTTACGCGTATATTTCAAGTGAATTTTTCTATAATACAAGTATGTAATAACCTCATACTGATAATAACAGCACTGTATTCTAAAATAAAGAAAATAAATTTCTTCATTCATTAATTTCTCGAGTCGACCTGATTAAGCAATTCTAAATTAGAAGTACGGCCTTCAGAATTATATAAAAAACTTTCTGGAATAAAATTAAAATTACGGCTTTTCGTTACTTATACAGTGAGGCATTCAGAATTTATATTATGACATTCCTTCACACTTCGCTAAAGACTGCATTAAAAGGACAACAGGATTCAGAATTTACAAAGTATAGTCTACGTCCTTTATAATAAAATATAGCGTTCAAAATTTATAAAGTATGTCCAGCGTTGGTCGGCATTCGTCCACATTTCTAATATACTGATTTCCATAAAAATCGGAACACCTCGAAGGAGTTGAGTCATTTTGTTCATATTATCGGATATGATTAAAATTTCAAGAAAAACCATTAACGTTATCTTACCGTTTTTGCCTTTTGAAAACAACGTTTCGACTAGCAGAATTTTGTTTAGTAGATACTCATATTCGAAGTACGAAGTACCTACTTCATTATTACTCTTATATACCTGAGCATCTACTCTATGTACTGAGTACCTACTTGGAAACATTGTACCTCCCCGGACATAAATTGAACATCTACGCGTTTTGTGAGCATTTAATCTAAAAATGAGCATCGGCGTGGCAAATGACTGAGCTGTCTGTAAAGCAGCTTAGAAAACGAGTAGGATCGTTGTAAGTTGTAAGAGTGAATTTTGACTAAACATGGCGACTTTCATGACCGTGGAACGTCGCCAAAAGGTGCATTCAGTTTGAAAAACACATTAGGAGCGGGAATATCGAAAACTTTTCAGGTAATTAACTTTTATTTATGCATAAATTGTGCAATGCGTTTTTTCTAACACTGGCCTTAGAGATTCCCATCTCGAGGTGTCTACCCCATACCAACTTATATTTTGGTGACTCGATTTTTGCCTTGATGGTTGAACCTGTCACTGTTTTCCTTTTTTGTTTTATCGAGATGCTACTTGAGCATCAACTGTTACCTACTGCAGTATTAGCATCATCTAGAAAAACTAGAAATATTATGATTTGATATTCGAGCATCTACTGAGTTTTATTTATATCAACCATTGTCAAAAAATTGATCGAACGTTGTTTCGACAGAACTTCCTTTGCACCAAAAGTATAATGAAAAATATTCAGCATTTTCGAGTTGAGTCTTTTCTTCACACAATTTTGTGATGACCTAATCAACATTTACGAACAAGACGTATACCACCTTGGATTGGTGCACTGTAATACTAAAAATAACTGTATTGTATTCCCAAAATTATCTGTGAAAATCGGAAACGTCAAATTGCAAAGTGTTTACGACGTCGTTGTTTATAAATAAAGCTGGGCGGTCGAAATTTATTCATCCTATCTACCCGCCTGAAGTGCGGCCGGTGCATCCTTCCCTTACTCGCTTCTGGCTTTCGAATTGTGCATCATTTTTAATAATTTACAGAAATAGTTTTATTTTCAGCAAGACCGACATTTGAAAATTATTAAAAATATTATTATTATTATTATGTCGTGGATATGGATTTTAAAATCATCAACTGACGTTCAGTTAACGTTAGTTTTCTCATAATTTTCTTAGCGATGCGTTAACATCGGTTGCGAGCCACTGGTCTGCCGTGGTCCATACGCAGCGCATAAATTTCAACCGCCTAGCCCTATTTTTTTAGTATTACACGACATCTATCCAAACTGATATACTGTAACCTCATTTGACATACACCTGTTAAAACTTTTATGACTTAAGCGGCTTAAGCCAAAGCACTCTTATAAGTCAAACTGGCTATTGTAAGCTTTGCGGACCCGAACCGCAAGATTATTACTGTCCATTGTTGGCATAATGTAGCTGTCAACTAAGTTAAGTAATACAATAGCCAGTTTGACTTATAAGGGTGGTTTGGCTTAAGCCGCTTAAGTCATAAAAGTTTTAACAGGTGTATGTCAAATGAGGTTACTTTACGTGTCCTTGCAAAATTTTTTAAAATGGTCCGCTACAAAAATGTAATGAGAAAAAAAAAACATAACAGACATGCCGTAACGTTTCCGACAGCGAGGGAAGTATTGTCTAAACTCTTTAGACCAATTTTTGTACATCACTTATGTAATCAATTTGTGTATTAACATTAATAAATGGTTATTTGTTTCTTCTTGTTCTAAACAGTCATAAGAAAAATAATTAGAAAGATAATAACACAAAGAAGCTTTACGTTTTCAAAACAGGAACAATACTTAGACATTCATTCAAATGCTTTTGAGTCATATTTTGTACGCATTTAGTAGATATAATATGTACGGTTTGTCAATTTCGTAATGGATTTATGAATTATTGATGTGGTAATCGTGCACACATGTCCATCACTAACTTCGTTACCGTTGAGCTACGTCCTCTGAGAAATCAAGCTGGTCTTGAAGTTTCACCCTTCTCGGCTGAGCACAGGCAAAACTGAAATGAGAGATTGTCAGACTAACATTTACGTCAATCTAAACAGCAACTGCTCAATATTTGAACAAGCCAAATAGATTTTATCCTCCCCTATATCCAAAAGGTCGAGGCTTTAAACTGAATAAATGTTGGATTTATGTGACGTAGACATGCTGTTAATGAACTATGAAGATTAAAATTGTGCTCGTGTGTTTGCTTTAGGGGAGCAGTCGAGGTATGAAGAACCACCATACATATGAAAGTTCAATTTATGTGATATTCGATCATCGGTACACGATGTTTGCCGTATTTTAAATATTATCCAGTGTTAAACACTATAAAATCTATCCGTGAAGAGGTGTAGAAAAAATGTAAAAATGACCGGACTGGAAATATTAAAAACTTTAATGAATTAATTTTTGCCACTGGTTAATAAATTAAAATACTAATTCAAACGACATCGTCGAATCGTCTCCGACTTCAGCGTCGCTGTCATTTTGCATTTAGATATGGAAGAATGAGTCATGTGAATGTCGTTCTAAATGTAATCACACTAATGGAAGCCAGGTTTTACAAGACCATCATTTAATTTTCTTTAAGGGCTTCACTACGAAAATTCAATTTGGCTAATGCACTGAGATTACGTACATTTAATTTTCACGCCGCTGTAAGGGTAGCAGTAAAAACATTGGTGTAGTTATGGATGGAAAATTAAAAGTATGAGTATTTTTTCACGAATGGGGGGGTGGGGGTGGGGGGAGGATGTAGGGGCTATTACGTACAACCACAAACGCAGACCTTTCAGTTTTCTGTATGCAACTCACACAGTGTCGGATCCTGTAAGAGTCCTGTGCATTTAATAAAACTCAGGCACATGTCATGTGATTCGAAAATTCGGAACTCCCTGTGTTTTTTTCTGATCACAGCAAATGTCAGATCCGTACGAATCTGAAGTTCAAGGATATCGTTAAAAGCTGTTTGACAAACCTTTTCTTTAGCAGTTCTCCATCAGAAGTAGTCCACTGGTGTGACATCCGGACTTGGAGGAAGCCAAAGATGAGTTGAACCTCATCCTATCCAATCACTATCATTAAATTATTTGCTCAGGCATCTTCTATCGATATGATACTTAATGAGCAACCTCGTCGTAACGTTGTAATAAAAAATCTCTCCACAGACCAAATAGCAAATCTTCTAATTACTGAAAGAATGCATCGGGATTTTTGGCTACTGAAATCGTTTCACGCTGACATTTCTACCGGAATCACAAACTAGAATCCAAATTAATTTTAAAATATTTATTGAAATCCAGAAACAAAACTGTAATCGGTATTATGGGTTATCACTCTAAAAGGCTCAGGTGGGTAATCTTAGCTGAATAACCCTGTATACTGACTCTCCAAAATGTCGCTAACACCCTGATGTACGAAAAAACTAGTAAAAAAATTCTTTTCGGTATGGATTATAAGAAAATCATATTTTCATAAAATTAAATTCGGCAACACTGACGTACTTGTAACCATAATGGTTATATCTCGTTATTCAGTAAAATACTTTTATACAGGGTTATTTACGAGAAGCTCCACGCCTAAAAAATTCAAAACACAATCACCAGTACAATTTCATATCAGTCTTAAAAAAGCATCATTTTTATTTTAAGTTAAACATAGTAAGTTGTTTTGGTTTTGATAATTTGGAAATAGACGTCAATGATTAGCTTAAAATTAAAAACAAATAAATTAAATAAGAGCTTCTCAGGGAATCCCCCTGTACGGATAATGTAAAATGTAAAATTACATCAGCCTTTTCGTCGTTGGAACACTCAGAACATATCGAAGTATACTTCAGAACTCATAAAATTCGACCAAAATATGTTTTCTAGCTAAAATTTGATGGTTTCCGTGGTAGCTTCGGGCCCGTTGGGTGTCTGATAGGCTTGAAACCACAAGAAAACGCTTGAAAAGTAACGTTTCTGAAGTTTTTTAACTAATTTCTTGAATCTACAAACGCCAGAATGTGAAAAATTAACCCAAGCGTCTTCTTTTGGCAAATTAAGTCGATTCTGCATACCGCATCTACGTCGTGTCGATCAGAATCGTCAAAAACATGTCGAAATATCTGTACTTCAGAACTCATAAAATTCTGACGAAATATCAGTTTTAATATATAGATAACTTTGTGTAACTTTAAAAAAAAATGATATGAAATATCTAAAATGGTTTTGAAATTGTATTTTTGGTTGCTTCTTGAATTTTTTAGGCTTGAAGCTTCTCGTGAATAATCCTGTATATAAACATTGTTATTATGTATTATCTAAATGTAGTTTATAGTTTGTAGTTTATTAAAAGGTTATCCGTAAAATAAAATACATACAATTTTATAATTTATATGAGAAAGTGGATTTGTTTGACTGCACTTCAGGGACGAGGGAAGTTCTGTACAAAAAAACTTACAGCATTTTTTTGTTATCTAGTTTTACTTACACTAAGATTTTACAGAATGATATCGTTCATGTTTCAAAAATGCTGAGGTGTTCCGTCTTAAATGATATTAAGTTATGAAGTGTCTGGTAAAAACGCTAGATTAACTGCAAACTTATACGCACAGCAGTAGCCAGAAAGAAGACATCTTACTCAAATTTTTTAAACGAGTTTAAGTGTTTGAGAGCAAATTGGCCTGTAAGGAAACTTAGAAGTACACAAACTGTGTAGTCTCGATCTAACAAAATCGATTAATTTCTATGGGAATTCGTAAAAGAAAGTGTATCCGCAACGCCGTTCGAAAATATGGTTGAGTTGCAAAAACGAATTGGTTAAATGCAACGTCAGTCCAAAGGCCAAAGGTCCCGTAATGTTAAAACGCGTGACACGTTTTTTTATGAATAGAATCGAAGCTTGTGAACGCAAAGAGGTTGTCACATTAATAATGTTCCTCAGAACATCGTGTGTTTTATTGGACAATAATAACCATTGATTTCAAAAAAGAAAAGCAAACTTGGATTCATGGCATTTTGGAAATTAAATTTTCAATCAAGAAAGAAAGCGGATAATATTATATGTTGGGGTGCCTATTAGAAAGATGTAAGTGGGTCATTTAAGCTGGATCACCCCCTGTATGTAGGTATATAGCTATTAAGATTCACACTGGTGGGAGTTATTTATTCTTTCTGTTTACTTTGTTATCATGTTATCAATTATTATCCTTCACCTGCTCAAGAAACCCTATTCATCAGAATATTTTAACCGGTAACAGATCTCATCAAATGAAAACATATTTCTATGTGGCATTTTACTGAAATTTGTAGGGTATTGAATGAGTTTATTCTAAAAAGTACCTACAAATTAAACTTTTGTTCGTAACATGTATATTTTCTCGTCGTCGTAACAAAAAAAAAAAAAAAAATCCGGGACGGTAGACAGACGGGCACAGGCGGAAACGGGCGACCTATCTCTTCGTACTATAGGGGTCGTGAAAGGTCGAGAAAACGTAAAAGTGGAGAGTCGGTCAACGGACTCTATTAAAATACTTCCTTCGCTTACGCGGGGGAAGTAAAATTCAACAATCGACATTATTCCGGTTTGTCACAAAACTGAAAGTTCAGTAATTCTTGACTTACACCTAATTTCGGTTTAAAATGTTCACCGCTGCAGAAATGACCGACAAGGTACTGCTATTACGGCAAAGCTGCCGGGAATGCAACCGCTGTAAGGCGTTTATACGAAGAACGTTTTCCCGATCGTATTCTACCGGGTGCACAGAAGTTTTTTTGCAAATATCAAATATCACGCAGCGTCTTCGGGAACATGGTTGTTTTGCGCCCTGCACTCAAGATCGGGGACGGCGAAGAACGGATCGTATTTTAGATCTGGGGCCAGAAATTTTGGAGGCAATTGAGAACGATCCTCAAATCAGTACAAGAAGATTGACCATAACATTTGGGCGTCACAGTCTACAGTGTGGCGTATACCTACTGCACAGACAGGAATTGTATCCATACCATTTAAAACGGGTACAAACTCTACACCCAATAGATCCACCAAATAGAATAGCATTTTGCAAATGGTTGTTAGATGAAATAACTCAAGCACCTGATTTTCCAGCTCATGTCTTATGCACTGACGATGCAGGATTCACACGTGGGGAAGTTTTTAACTCTGCTGTTCATGACCACAGACCACAGGAACAATTTTCACTTAAGCAGGACTTGTGGACGGGGAATTGGTAAGACCGCATGTTATGCCTAAACGTCTTAACAGCCAAGACTATTTAAATTTCTTGAGGAACGTTTTAAATGTTTTGCTACCGTTGGCGGTGCGTCTCAATATTTGGTTTTTACAAGATGGAGCACCTCCACATTACGCAAACGTCGTGTGTCGGTGGTTAAACAGATATTTTCCCGATAGATGGAAAGGTCGTGGTGGACCTTGCTTGGTCTGCACGGTCGCCTTATTTAAATCCGTGCGACTATTTTTTATGGGGGCATATGAAACAATTAATTTATGCAAACCCTATTAACACCAGAGAAGAACTGTTAGCATGAGTGACTGAAGCAGTAGAAACAATTCGTAACAATCCTGCAATGGTTAGACGAGGAATATCATCTCTGGTACGTAGGGCAGAGGCTTACTTAGAAAATCGGGGTCTCCACTTTGAACAATTCCTTTGAAGTTTATCAAAATAGAATTTATTATTTTTCAAATAAGTTGTTATTACAAGGGCATTGGTAATATGTCAAAATGGCATGACCATTTGTCTTAATTTAGCCAAAAATGGGGTTTAACACTAGAACCGCCGAAAATTCCACATACCTGGAACCGCCGCCCCGGTCAAATTGACCGGTGATTAAAACTCGGTTTTTTCGATTGTTTTTATGAATTAGCATATCTATTTACATAAAAATAAACGCAAAATACATAAATAATTGTTACCTTAACGTAGTTGTCTTAAATGTTGTTACAATTTTTGTAGAAGGTTATTTTAAATTCTTATAAACCACATGGGTTCTTTTTTTTAGTTCTCACACATAAGTTTTATTTTCACATTTATTTTCTAGATATGTACGTCTCTTACGAGATTGATGACATATCTTTGATCCACCCTCACAATTATTGGAATATTGTAGATCCTTTTTGTTATGGGCTATTCTGAGAGTGTTCTGTTGCACTCGACCAAGTAATATTCACCACCATCGTGTATCACAAACTGTGTCACGGTCAGATTCTCCACCACATTGTTCTTTACTCCGAACAAGGTGAGAAAGTATTTCATTTTCCCTATCAATATTAGATAATTTAGAATCATACACCGAATTTTTTGGTGGAAGATATTCCGGTTAGTCTAAATATGCTAATGCCTGTGAAGCTATGAGGCCTTTCCTGGACCACATACAATTCAATTTGTATATAGGTAAGTATAGAATACTAAAACTAAACAGAAAGCATGCCCTTTCGAAGTACAACAGAGCAATTTTTATGTTCACAAATTTACAGGCTGTAATTTGCAAAAATTTTGTACGCATGCGCAAAATCAGTTCTGCGCATGTGTGGCACAAGTAGAAACAGGTTCTTAGCCGAGTGTAAGAATAAAAACCTTGAAATACGTACGAACAAAAACTAACAAAGAGGAAAAGCTCTGATTGTTTGATGCAGATATATGCTTTTTTTTTATTTTAGAAATGTTGAAAATATAAATTTATTTACATTTGGTGCAAGTCAAACTGTATAATTCATTCAACTGCTCCCAGAAAATAAACTAAATGACATATACATTTAATCAAAATATAATATTAACTTTCCGGTCAATCTGACCGGGCCGGCGGTTTCAGGAAAATATTTCCAAAAGAGCGCTCAGAATATTTCAAAATGTTCAAAATTTTGTGACAGCATTGCCAAAGATAATTTAGGAAAACTCAGAAGATTGCAAGATCATAGAAAAATTATTTCCGTTAAAAAAAAAACTTTAAAATCGGAAAACGGTCAAATTGACCGGTGCGGCGGTTCTAGTGTTAAGAATTGCATTTTATTAATTTTGAAATTAATTTTCTCGTAAACTTCTGAAGCAACTACACATTTACCATATTTCAGTTTTTCATGAATTTCAGGTAAAATTGAAGATTATTAAAACCAAAAGTTTTCTACAGCCTCTCTTTTGTGTTCTAAAAAAAGAATATTTATCAACTTTTTAACACTCACATTTGCTTAA